GAAACCAGGCGAGAGGTTTTTGCCACAGAGGCCGAGCAGTGGGGAGCCCAGAGGGGCGGGATGCTGCTGCAGGCGGGGTGGTAGCGTGCAAGGCGTCAAAGGGCCAAAAATGTGGTTTGTACAGGAATGGGCTGTGCTGGCCACAGTGGGGGAAACACAAAAGCCACCGGGTCCACCAGAGCTGGGCAGGCACCGCCAGTACCCGGTCAGCCCAGCCTGAGCCTCGGGGACAGCTCCAGTCTCAGGGGAGGGACGCATGGACACGAGCCTGCAGTGACAAATGTGAAATAAGTTCAGCTGCTGGCTCCAGCAGATCTGCATCTGCCTCGTCCCTCCCTCCGGGGTGCTCAGTCACTAAGCAGAGCTCCTGTTTCACTGGTTTTGGCTTTTTTTTTTAAAGTTTAAAGTAGGGCACAAAATAAACGACGCTAACAGCTCAGTGCAAGTCACCTTCCTGTAATGAAAATATAACGAAGGGATGCAAATTTCCAAGGTTATTTGCAGGGAAGGGAGTGGGGGAGTTTCATTAAAAGATTAGAGATTTTCAGACATCCCGTGTTATTTTAATTGGCTCCTAGTAGTGTAGGATGGGATGGCAGTGTCTTGTGTATTTCCTTGTACCTAGCTGAGCTCAGGAAACCCCAGAACCTGCTTGCGCACCGCACAGCACTCGTGTTATTTCCATTGAAATTGGGTCATTTTTCCTGTTCTGTTTCCAGTAATCATTTGCAATGACAGAGCAGGTGCTGTGGGTAAAGCGGTGTGTCCGGATTCAGGTTAGCAAAGTGAAAAAGATTTGCACATGATTTATTCTGCTTTTTTTTTTTTTTTTTTTCTTTAAATAGCCTGCTTTGCATTAAGTGAAGGGTTTATAACATTGGGATTTGGGACTTTGCTGGCCAGACATGCAGGAGAGCCACACGGCTCCCTGTGCTGAGCATCCCAGGGATGGGACCCTCCATGGGGTGTGCAGGGAGCTCCTGTCCTGCCAGCAGAGCAGGTGATGCTGCTGTGCTGACACCTGATGCTGTGAGGTCCCCAGTGAGGATGGCAGGTCCCCTCCGGGAGGGTCCCCTTTGAGAAGACACAGTCTTGGGGGCTTGTCATCAGGGTGGGCAGAGCATCCCATCATCCCAGCTGGGACAGACTGAAGACCACAGGACCAGTGCTGAGTATGGGACGAGACCCCGAGCTTCTCCCGGGGCTTGGATGGAGCCGGGCGCACGGGGCGGCAGCGGCGTTGGCTGGCACCAAGGGTGCTGAGTTTTTAAACACCATTCTCGTAGACATCCAACATCTACAGAAACCCACTACTAAGTGAGGAGGCATGTTCTCTATTTGGATGTGTTTAGAGTGTATTAATGCCCACTTACCAATCATGCATTTCACATGTAATTTTTTCAGTTTTGCATGACACCGTGCTCCTTTGCATGTTGGTAGTGCTCTAAAACCAGTACGGAGGATGTGCCACATTAATCGCAAGACTAACATTTAAATGTGTTTTAGAATTGTGGATTTAATAGACTTGGTCAATAAAATCATCAGTCTCTCACACTCATCTTCTCTTTCTTTGCATATTCATTGTAGAGGATGTCTTATATCTTAAAGGTAAGGGTAGATACATCTCTTTAGCTTATTGTGGCAAAGAATGCTTGTTCCTGTTCACGCTTCTTGTGCTTGCATGACCCTAATTTTGCCTGGCTGTCTCAGTAAGCTATTGTGAGAGTCAGTAGTGACTGGCAAATGTATTTCGAGATAACCCTCAAGAAGGCTTCAGTATTATGGTACTTAAACTTCCTGGTATGATGCTTGTCCTGCTTAAAATCTGTATTGCATGTAACCTACTAATACACTAATTCTCTCCAAATCAGCAAGACTCATAACTCAGTGAAAGAGATAAAAGCTTGTGTTTCTTACTTGTGGAGTCATAGCAAGCACTAACTTTGTGTGTATTTGTTTGTTCTCGGTGTGCGCGGAGGGCACAAAGTTTTGTGCACTTAGAAGCAATGTTATTTGCCAACTGTTTTATATTAGAAATCAAATCAAGGCAAGGAAATAAACAAGCGTATAGGGTTTTCTGATAAAGACCACAGCATTGGTAAACAGACTAAAAGTGCTGCGAATGTGTTTGAATTCTGTGGCTAAAGGATCTCAGCCAAGGGTTGAATTTGTGAGAGGAGCTTGTCCTGGCCCAGACCTGCAGGTGCTGTTCAGGGAGCAGTGGGCCACAGCTAGCGCATGAGAAAGGCAAAAACCATCATTTCCCCCAACTTTGTCATTGTCTGCTTTGTAGTTCTCTAACGTGTTGTATGTGACACAGATAGCTGCCATCAACCGCTGTGCTCCGCTGTTTGAGCTGCCTTTGGTTCTGGTTAAACACAAGAGTTTGTTTCTCTGTAGGATTCCAGCAAAAGTCCAAAAACAATGAAGAAGTTCCTTCCAAAAAGGAAAACTGAGAGAAAACCATCTGATGAAGAGTTTGTTATTCGGAAAAGTAAGTGTTGTATTTTTTTCTTCTTTTTGGAGGTTTCTGTGTGCTCAGTCATCTCCACAGGACTTTGAGAACAGCCTTTCTTACGGTGCAGGATGCAACAAGATGCTCACGTTGTGAGCAAGCCTACATGCTGCTGAGCACGGGGGGGTTCTGGAACTGTACCAGTCCTCAGCCTGACAGATGGCCTCCCAGTTACGACTGACAGACATGCTGCCACCCTCCTCGTGATTGCTAGCACAAGGTCACGGGCTGAGGGTGGTTTTGCTCTGGATGCAAAGCCAAGGAACTACTTCCAAGTAGCTAAAAGCTGCAGTAAAACTGCACAGCAGCAGTCATCAAAATGTGTCTGAGAGCTGGGACAAACCCTCTCCTGGCCATGCCAGCGGGTCCTGGAACAGTTTCCATGGGGGATCAGGGAACAAAAAAAGGCCCTGTCCCTGCAGGGGTGTTCACCTGCCAAGAGGGACATCCTGAGAGCTCCCCGAGTCCACCTGGGACACTCCTGGGGGTTTCCCATGAAAGACTGTGGTCACCCAGCTGTGAGCTGCTGTGTTGGAGGTCAGTTGTCTCCCTTGAAAAGACGGCACTGAGCAAAGGCTGGAAATGAAGCCTTCACGTTTCCAAGTCCTGCTGTGATACAGCTGCACCAGACCCCCCCTGGCAGGGCTGCTCTGCCTGCCCATCTCCTGGTGCTGCCGGCACCCGAAGGCAGGCATCACCCCCTGAGCTTTGCTGAGACGAGCAGCTAGAAGTGTGTTTTCATATTGTTTAGTCATGCTGCTCAATGCCACAGGATGTTGCAAAGGGCAGAAAGTGTAATGGACCTCAAAAGGGAATTGGGCAAAGTCCCAGAGACAGTGTCAGTCAAGGAAACAACATGCTCCTCTTGTAAGGGACTTGGGAGCAAAGGCTAGGAGATGAAGGCAGAGCACTTCGCTTTTTGTGATAGCTGTCGTCTGCGATGGTTTACAGGTACTGCGGCGCTGGAAGAAGATGCTCAGATCCTGAAGGTGATCGAGGCATACTGTACCGGGGCAGGCTTCCAGCAGGCTCTCAGCTCAGGTGGGTACACAGCCTGATTATTTAATTCTTACTCTGCCTTCAACACTGATAAACCCTCTGGGATGAAAAAAAAAAACACAACAGATGGTTGCATCATACAGCAACGAGACTCATGCTAGGAAACTGTGTTGTTCAATCTGCAAGATAAGGGAGCTTCATCTGCCTAGTGGTTTAGTTGCCATTGTTTTTCTTCTAAACACAGAGAATGAAGCAGGTAGGAGGGCAGATGAGACACAGCTATTTCACCAGCACTTGTTAGGAATTAAGCAAACCTAGTCCGTGCCTGTGGCTGTCAGCACTGAAAACCTGATGGTAATCTCAGGTTGCATATAGCTTTAGAAAGGAAGCATGAATATTATCTCTCAATCAGCTGCGTGTTTTAAGAACAAGCTGCTTCATAAGAACCTATCTAACATCTTCAACTCTGGAAATTTAACTATTTATCATTGCTGGGGAGATGTAAAATTAAATCACTGAACTATCAAATCATGGTACGTTTAAAAAAGGGAGGGCATGCTGCTTCTGAGAGCTCTTGACCCTAATCGAATGATTTCATTTATAAGTCATGATGTAGCTTTAGCTGCAGTGAGCACTCTTGAAACTTTCCACTTGCTGCTTTAGCTCCGGGATAGCGGTACGTGTACGGCTGTATTTAACTGTGGCAGATAGCCCGCAGCTGCTCGACCCCCCTGTCCCCAGCCTGTCCCGGGCTTGAAGAGCAGGGGGTGTGAGGGCTTTGTTTGCTGGGATGTGTCTGGAGCAGCCTGGGCATCAGGGAAAAGTCTCCCTTTTTCTTCCTGATGAGTAATCCTTGTGTACAGGTTCCCGTAAAGACTCCATCCCCCAAGTCCTTCTTCCTGAGGAAGAGAAAATCATCATAGAGGAAACACGAAGCAATGGCCAGACTGTCACGGAGGAAAAGTAAGCGTGGCTGCTCTCCACTTGCACATTCCTGTGTTGCTTTTTGGAAAGACGTTAAAAACCAATGCCCTCTCCTTCTGCATCTGCAGAGAGGAGTGGCGCTGGTGTCACCGACTGCTGCCTTAGTCTTGGCGAGAACCACTGGGCTGTTTCCGTTGCTATTTGTCCCTTTGTAGGAACAGAGCTGCCTTCCAGCTGCTCTGACATGGCTGCAGCCCTCTGGGAGTCTGCGTGCAGGGTCCCAAGAGTCAGTTTATCGTGTCTCGGAGCTTATCCGGATGTAGCTAATGGGGTCAGGGAGGACAGAACCAAACAACTGGCTTGTTTTTTTTTTTTTAACTACTGACATACTGGGCTGCTGCTACCCCTCGGGAGCCTGCCTGGCACCCTCTCTGTGTGTGCTTCCAGCCTGGTGAGTAGGTTCAGTGTCTGGGTGGCTATGCTGATCTGCTCCTTTTCTAACCCAGACACTGCATTCCTTTCGTGCTTGGTTTTTTGCAGCGTAACCTCAAGAAATCAAGGCCATTTTACAAAAGATGCTCAGGCATTTCCAGTTTTCAAATCAGTCTTGTTTGTTGCAGTGGTGTAAACAAGGAAGCCAAAGCCCCAGACCTTTGTTGATAACTTAAACATAGCAGAACAAGGTGTTTTTCTTGAGTTTTGAGATGATAATTTTGAACTGGTGGCCTATCAATTCTCCTGGGCTCCTGTTCCCAGTCTCCTCACAGGGAGCAGATAGCAGCAGCCTGATGCTTGCAAAGCAGAAAATGGAAGCACCTTCCCCATCAGCTCATGAAAGCTGGTTTTACTGCACTCCAGCTCTTTTTATTTCTTTTTATTTCTTTTTTTTTTTTTTTTTGCACTTCTTTTTGCAGGAGCCTTGTTGACACGGTTTATGCACTGAAAGATGAAGTCAAAGAACTGAAGCAGGTAATTTGAGTGGGAATCTGTGCTGGGAGTTGAGCAAAATCCAGCCAGGCTGCGCTGGGTCGTTGTCTCTGACCAGTTGGTGCCCAGGAAAAGTCTTGCTGATGCTGGTGCGATGCTGCAGTTCCCTGAATCAGCATTAATTTTCATCTGGTTTAGCTCCCTGAGTTGACTCACCACACAATTGCTTGAGCTCCAGACCCAGCAGGAGGGAAGGAGTAGTTGGTCTTCATGGTAACATGATACTTTCCTCCTACTCTAAAAATTCTTTCAACTTGACTGTTCATTTGATAGGAGTCTGGTGGATACCAATTCTTGTAGATTCAGAGGAAATATATCCTCCTCCCTCCAGCCCAAAGCCTGGAGGTGGGAAAGACCAACCCTGGAGAAGAGGGTCTTCCAGCTAGAGTTGGGGTTGTTCAGCTGGAGAAAAGAAGGTTCTGAGGAGACCTAATAGCAGCCTTCCAGTGCTTAAAGGGGGCTCCAGGAGAGATGGGGAAACACTCTTGATCGGGGAGTGTAGTGACAGGACAAGGGGTAATGGGTATAAGTAGAAAGAGGGTAGATTTAGACTAGACATTAGGAAGAAATTTTTCACTGTGAGGGTGGTGAGGCAGTGGCCCAGGTTGCCCAGAGAAGCTGTGGATGCCCCATCCCTGGAGGGGTTCAAGGCCAGGCTGGATGAGGCTTTGAGCAACCTGGGCTAGTGGGAGGTGTCCCTGCCCATGGCAGGGGCTGGAACTGGATGATCTTTAAGGTCCTTTCCAACCCAAACCATTCCGTGATTCTATAATTCTATAACTCAGGCTAAAATCAGGTTTCCAGGAGGATGCTTCTGCCTGCTCAAAGACACTAGGACTTTTGTGCCGGTCTGTAAGGTAGTAAGGGTTTGCTTGAGCAGATTGAATCACAAGTAACCTGTGTTGTTCATCCTCACAAGCTGGCATGTCCGATGTCCTGGGTGTTTCATCACCTCTGAGCCACGAGGCAGCCAGGCATGTGGAAGTACATCATTGCGTTCAGTGCACGGGCACTAGCTGCTTCTTCATACCTTTATTTTTCCTCTGTCAGGAGAACAAAAGGATGAAACAGTGTTTGGAGGAAGAACTTAAATCCAGGAAGGACTTGGAGAAGCTGGTGAGAAGGTTGCTGAAGCAGACGGATGAGTGTGGCCGGGAGGAGACGGGGCGCAAGTCGTCCCTCATCGCCTGAATTCGGGGGGGAAGCTGCTGGCAGTGGTGTGTGACCTCAGGTATTTTTTGGGAAGCGGAACTGGATCCTTTGCCTCTTCTTGCTCCTTATTTTGTTGGTTTTGGGAATTTTGTTACAAAAGAAAAAAGTCATAGAGAGAAAAAAAAAAAAGAGATAGTTTTTCTTCCATCCAATAAGGAAATAAACCGGAAACAATCGATCACAACTAAACCAGTACGCAAGCGGTCCATGATTCACAATTCATCTGCAGCAACTAATACCTCATTGTACCTGCTACTGGGAGCAAATACAAACTCTGCTGATGATTGCCGCTCACAAAGGGTTTGGCACCAGTTTCCTAGAGGAAGCTTAAGCACTTTTTAATGCTTTCATTCTTGTCAAAAGCACCGGTACCTATTTATTGAATGAAAACATTACTGAGGTGGCATTGAGCAGAAACCAAAAAGCACCATGCTCCTCTTTCAGATAATCACAACTGGGGAAGCTTTTCCCATCCACCTTCTTTTTTCCCCGTTAGTTGACTGTAGCGAACTAGAGCCCAGCAATACTGTGGTTCCCGTGTGGCCTTGATACTGATTAAAATGTGCAATTAACATGAAGACATTTGAACTCCTTGGGGAAGTCAGATCTGGAGCAGCTGTCAGAGCGCATGGGAGAGGCATGTTGCACAGTACTGCCTCCGAACAGCTCGCGATCAGCACAACAGGTAACCGCGGTTCTGCCCCCGCATCCCTTTTCTTATGCATGACCTAGAACTCCTACCCCCTGCTTTGTTTTCACATCAAGTGTCCAGGTATCGTATGATTTTATAGTTTTGCTGTGCTTCCCCCTTGCAGGACATGCTTTTCTCTGTATGAAGTGTAAACACTGCTTGACAACAAAAAAAACCAAACCCAATGTGCTGGTTCCCTGCTCCCTTCTGCCCATGTTAGGCTCTCCGTCGCTCCTTCCCAAAGGCTGGGAATGTGGCCAACGGCCACTTCTCCCCCCATTGCCCCAAAAGGGCTTTTGACTAGGAAAAATGAACTTTCTCTTGGGATAGGAAATATATTTATATTTATGCTTTGGCAAGAGCTGGAACGCTCCTGGGGCCAGGACGTGCGCCACCCTTCCAGATCCCTGCACAGCTCCTCGAACACAGCACACAGGCAACATGCGTATGTATCGGCTGTCTTCATCTTCTTCAGTGTTATACCCTCGTTTAGAACGGGTGTTTTCCTCCCTTCCTTAGCAGCATTATAAAAATAACCTTCTGTTAAAGTTATCGACAGGTCTTATGTATTATATCCCAGGGCAGCATGGTCCAGGGTGTGCAGCCACAGCACAGCTCATTGCAGTCATACTGTTACATTGGTCATGAAGGACATAATAGAGGCAATAATTACAACTACTTCCTTGCCATTAAAATTTAGCTAGAACATAGCAAATAGTGTCTGGGGAGAGCTAGACTCAAAAACATCACAAGGAGTGTAAAAAGAAACCCTTAGATTTAAATCCAAGCTCTTTCTAGGACAAAACAGAGGTCCTTTTTGCCCTGGCTACACTCGCCATCTCCAGAGCATCCCAGCTGGATGGCAGCTCTCCGCATCCCCACCCAGGCACACAGATGGGCGGTTTGGTCGGCAGTCAAGCCCGACTGTGCTGGTTAATCATTTTCCAGGGTAACAACTTTGCTGCACACTGAGCAGTTCATGCCACTCTTCTGGGATGCCATGCCCAGACACATCGCCCGGTCCAGCTGCCTGCACAAAGGCAGGCTGGGGACTGGGCTTATGATGTGCAGCCAGCGCAAGGAAGCAAACCAAGGGCCGTTTACACTCTGAGGAGAGCACAGAAATGTTTCCCTGCTGCTCCCCAGTTTAGTTGAAACCCGTGCTGTGTACATATGCATGTTTGTAAGATGTAATGTGATGGAGGGCACACTGGGACATTTTGGATCAAGCGTTTGTCAAGAGCTAGAAGCCAAAAAAGACAAGAAAAATAAAATAAAAAAAGGAAAAGAAGCCATGCCAGATGGACAGCAATGTTTCCATATTTACTTTGTTTACAGTGCTTTGTAAATAGGTTCCAGTGAGTCTGTCTTTAGATGGATGTTGTGTCAGCTGCCTTCCAGTTTATCTTTGTCATGTAGGTTTATTTACTGTAACTACTTATGCAAGTTCAACTTTTCTAACATGTTTTTATTTTGAACAGTTTTTTAATTGACATTTTCAACAAATAAAGAAGGATAAAAATCGCTTCTTAGCTCTCGGTGCTGCTTCCTTTGTTTCCACTGTGAAAGCAAAGCCAGTGCTTGCTCTGGGCATCCCCAATTTGCTCAAAATGCCCGTGGCTGTATCATCTGCCCTCCGATGTACTGGGTGCTGGTGGGGATACTGATGCAAATGATGTTTCTCCCACCATCACCCTGCAGCAGGGAGGGCACCTGGTCCTAGGGGAAGGAGATGCATTTCCATCCCTCAAGCCCCACTTGCACTCTGCTAACAAGGATGCTTTATGGAGAACTAGCTGCTCTCCGCTGCATGAGGGGTTGCTGTAGATAAGTGACTTCCTGCCTGTTTGAGGTTTGTTTTTTTTTTTTTTTTTTTTTTTTGTTAGTTAATGTGTGTTTTTTTCTGGAGGTTAGGTGTGGTGACAGGATTTCCTTTGGTCTACCACTTGGACAAGACCTCTCCTGCACAGAGGTATTTTTAACTCTTTGGTAGAGACATGCCATCCTCTCAGGCTGTAGTGGGAGGATCGAGGGCAGGAGGGCCAGACCCTGCTCTCCCTCCCCGAACACATCAGTTGAAGCCAGAAAAAGAGCAAGCAAAAAAGAACACTGTCCCTGGCACAAGAGGTGTTTGGGGGAGTTATTGCAGAGAAGCATCCGTACCCAAGTGGCCCAGAGCCTCCACTGGGCAGAGAAGTGAGGAGGCGGCATCCCCCAGGCTCATGCTGGAGGGAGCATCTCCACTCCTGGGTCCCCATGAGGCCAGATCTTCCACTGCATATGGGGTCCCTTTCGGCCCCTCTCTTATGCCAGTCCCCAAATGGCCCCTTTTTTCCCTGAACAGACCCCTCTCCAACACAGGCAGCACCAGCATCCTCCAGGCAATGGGGTTTGGCTCCAAATGGCCATCAATGTGAAAAAAATTTAAAAACAACTCTATCAACAGCTTAAGCTGCACAGCCCAGGCACCGCCACAGCTGGGGATGCCCTGGAGGTGCCCATTCATGATGGGCTGCTCCTGCTGACCACTCCAGCCTGGCACTGCCACAGCACGAGTGCCCTGAGCCCAAACCAAAATGAGGGGGAGAAGTCTCCCTTGCACCCAGGCAGGGGTGCAGGCGACAGGTTTGGCCTCCTAGAGGAGATGGAGACCCTGCCGATGAGGATCCTGCCCTGACCAGGGCAAAAGGCTGGGGGGAGCTGGCACTGAGCAAGGGGTGCTGGGGCAAGGCTGGCACCCAAGCACGCAGTGCTTAATTGGGGAGGGGGATAAATAAAAAGACCCCAAAGTAGTGCACAGAGATGCTAGGACAGGCTTGTCACCCACGCAGCTGCCACGGACAGCCATGCGGCACATGGGTGGCCATCCTCCAGCTCCTGCTGTCCTGCAGCCCTGAGCTCAGCAGCACAAGCTGGTGAGAACCTGCTGGGAAGCCAGCATCACAACTTCTTTTTTTTGAGGAAAACAACAACAAAAAATTGCATTTGTTATAGAAAATTGAAAAAAAAAAGTAAAAGAACTCCCAGTGAGCTCAGTGTGTCTTGAGCCACATGAGCATCTCTCCCAAGCAGATGCTGCTCTTGCTCCTGCTGCTGCATGTCCACGGCTCCCCATGCCAGTCCTGTTGATATGCCCCACGTACTTGTCACCCTCATCCCCTTCTCCCTTCTTTACTCAGAAGAACAAAAATCGGTTCAGAAACCATAAAATCCCCAGCGCAAGGAGTGACAGAGAGGTCCCACGTCAAGGGAAAAAAAACTCGGGAGAAGGCCACAGCTGGCTGGTAGCAATCGCATCTCCTCCCCTCCCACGCGCTACCTCGCATCTGAATCCCACGGGCTATTTTTGGCAAGTGAAGAAACAGAGGCAAGAAACAAACGCCCCGGGAAAGGCAGCAGCACAGGCAGGGGCTGGGGCCAGGCAGGCAGCCCGCGGGGAGGGGAGGTGGTGGTTGGCATCTGCTGCTCTTGCTGCACAACTTACTGAGCTGGTTTGTGCCTTTTGGGCTTTTTTGTTGTTTTCTCCCCTCTTTAATTGTTTCCCCCAACCACACATGAAAATCTATTTCTCCATGCGGTTTGCAGCTCCCAAATCTTCTCTCTCTGATTTAGGCATCGTAGCCTGGCCCAAACCCTCCGGTGGGTGCTCCTGGCCACCAAAGCTGGGGGGCTGTGGGGGGTTTCAGGGCCATGCACCAGCCACATTTGCCCCTCACCAGTGATGAACAGCATTTCTGCTCCCCAAGGTTTCGGACACTGGAGAGTGGCCATGCACACACTCCTCAGAGCTCTCCTCTCTCCCCACCCACTCCCTTCCAGCTGGCTTTTTCCCCTTTCCCAGCCCATGCCAGTTTGCATGTTTCTTGGTTTCTCCTGTGGCTCCCACCCACACTCCCACCACAGCCGGGCACTTCCCCATGGAGGGCTGGGGCTCTCCAGCTGCACCAGTGCTGCCTCCATGAGCCCAGCCCCAGGGGCTGGCTGGGTTTTGGCAGCAGTGGGGATTTGGTCCAACCCCCACCACGACAGGAGGTGGTGGGACCCATGCCACGGCAGCAGGTGGCCAGCTGGCCCCTGCCCACGCCACACGCAGCAGCCCCAGGATCCCACCTTGTGCAGCATCCATCCCTCATGCTCCGAGGCAGAGATACCCCTGCAGGCTCCATACCATCAGGGTGGGCAGGAGTAGTCCTCTTCCAGCCAGGTGTCCTAAATCCCCTTAAATTAGCCCCCACCCCTCTGCCCCACAGCTGTGCCAGGGCTCCAGCCCCACTGCCTCACTGCCCTCCTGGGGCAGGGGGGTCTCTGCTCCCTCTTCCAGCCAAAATGCCCCTAGCCCTGGCATCCCAATGTGCCCCAAGGAGCAGGGTGGGATGGCTGCCCCTGGAGGTTTTTGGGACCAGC